GCTCAGTCTGGTACAGAAATAATTTATACATATTGTTTTCAAAAAAAGTAAGTGCACTTGTACCAACTCATCTATTTCGATTCTATTTTTCTCCATAACAACTTGGGTATGATTTCTACTGCACATTATATTTCACTTCAATGGTGACACAGTCTTTACCATAGTGGTCTTCTGTCTTGGACTGAGTGGGCTTCTTGGTTTGAGTGGTCTTGGGTCGAGCAGTCCTTGGTCTAGTTGTCATGCATTTAGGAGAATATATTCATCAGCTTGCATTTTCAAGAAAATGGGAAAATGTTAAGATATGATCCCCCTAACAAATTTTTTTTCCTGCTTGTTTTTAAACAGATGGGAATCGTGGCATTGTCTCTAAATAGCGAAAAAGAAAAATTACCTTACTTATCCAAGCACAAAAGTCAGATTATTTGATGAACATTTTTATGTTTACGATGTCAAGAAAGAAAAACCTGGGATTGTGTCGCGAATGAGGCTGGAGAAGATGACAATCGAATAGATGGACAGAGTTTGTTACGGGCCACGTTTTGCCCACTGAGCACTGCCTGTCAAGGTCACTACTGACAATGTGCACACATGTCTCAGGGGAGAGGGGGGGGGGGGGTATTTTAATGTATTGAGAAATGTCGTCAGCAAAAGGAAGGATTTTAAATTAGACGATATCATTAATTCTATAGAAAATTTGGCTTCTACCCAGAAACCATTTTATTTATTTACCAATTAGTAAACAACACAAACACACGGGCTACTTTAAAATCAGACGCTCTCACAATTATTCAGTCTGTTTGCATGTGCTTGCGTTTTGGGGGGTTTTTGGGGTTTTTTAGCTTGTGGCATATTTTATATGTGTATAGGGGTCATGTCAAATGCATCTAAATCGACCATTTGCCGGGAAGCAGCCGACCAATTTAAAACGTATGCCACAATGCAATCTGGTTAAAACACAGATCATATTTCGTTTCGTTTTTATAGTTCAAAATTTCGTTTCACTTGTCTTTACTACACTTGGATCTGGAAGAGTTGTTATTTAACTCGTGTTCTGAATGGTGTCAGGGATAAGCCAATGAAACGGTCTGTTGCGGCGAGCTTTGGGCGTGTTTTTTTACGGAACTGTGGCTAATCCACTAGTAACATCAATGCTGATTGGTTAATCAATTGTCTGACGTCATAGGGTCATAAGTCGGTCTTTTGACCCCTGATGTGACCTATCGCTATAACTTGTCAGATCTTCATGTTGTAGGCCATTGAAAGGATAAAAAAAAACGAAACGAAATATAGATCTGTATTTTAATCAGATTGGCCACAATGTGCTTAGACTTGTACTTGGAAAAGTAAAGCATGACTTTGTGCTTACTTTAAGAATTTTCCAGGAACCGTGACCTGGAACTCAGTCCTTAAAAACAAATCAAATCGTTTCTGGTAATTCGACCAAGTCATGTGTTATTAATAACTAGTGGATTATAACTTTCGTGTTGTAATAACTAAAGCTACATACATAAATAACATATAAATTTTTGATAAGTATATAGATACTAAACAAATGATCTGTTCACTTGTATGATGACTAACATTGTTACATTTAATTAATCAATGCCATAAACGTCACCACATTATTAGAATAGCTTTACTGCCATCGGAAATATATCTGTTTTCTTCAAACTAAACATTATTGAATATGTGATAATAATAGTCATTCAATAATTATATTGGTATGAATGCATCGATAAACACTATTCTGTCGCAAAACTACATGAACATATTGTGTTTAAAAATGATATGAAATGGGGATTAACGTTCTACTTTCTGCACTGACTGGGCTTATGAAGACAGACATACGCCTCGACAAGGGGGAAATCACACCGGAAAATCCCGCTTAATTACCGGGATCGAACACGGGACCACCAAGTTTGCAAGGCAACTTTTTTACCCACCCCACTGAGCCACTGCGTCTATCTGTTTAAAGTCATTATCACTTTTCAGAAAATAAGTGTGGGTTTTTTGGTGGGTTTTTTTGGATGGGGGTGTGTTTTGTTTGGTTTTTTTCTGGGGGGGGGGGGGGGATGAATACATATGGACAATAATTTGGACTCATTGAATTATGGAAAACACTCACCTGTTACCAATAAATTGATATACGGCTTTTAGATTGGAAATTAAAGGCGTGGTTCCCCCTTGTCAGTGATGCAGGACAGAGGGCCTGACAAGGGCAGCTGTCTAGTCGTTCGGATGGGGCGAAAAACCGAGGTGACGTGTACACATTGGCGTGCACGTTAAAGATCCCTTAACGGTTGGAATTCGATATAAGAGTAGGCCGTAGTGCCGCTGTCCGGACAAAATTTCCCTCATAGCACACTGTCTGGCGTATGCCCGTCTTTATCAGCCCATTTCGGAGCAGAACAGTAGGACGTCAAACACCATTTCATTTCATTTCATTTTGGAAATTAAATCTCGAAAATTTCAAATGTACAATCTAATTTAAACATGGCCGATGTAATCACATGACTTGATGTCCAAATTTATATATTTACCAAAGCGTGGTTGGCGGGAGTGGGAAGGGGTGGGGTGATGACCGCGAAAGCAATAATTATTCAAAAACTTTTCTTTTACATATTACACGAATATCCTAATTATTATGGAAATCCAACAAAGTCAATGAAAGGCACTTATCATAACAATAGATCATTCCTCCAATTGACGATACATTATAAAATGCTATTCCTATCAATTGTTATTTACGTGTATTTTTTGTTGTCCCTTTAACAATACCGACAGCTTGATTACCATCTTTATTTGTCTCCATGTAATCAACACCTGTCTAGAATTTATTAATAATTAAATGGTTACAATGATTTGTATGAAGTACTCACAAAAAACAACTATTGCATCTGTAAGCCGGTATGAATTCAGTGGAAAATTAATAAAATATAACATTTTATACATTTGTTATGAACATTTTTGAGTCGTCTATATGCTATAAATGAAAATGTCTAGTTCGAAATACCCGAATCTTCTATTGGCCATATTGATGAGTGTTTTTGTAAATTTTGTCAAACCTCAAATTTCACAAAGTTGAAATATCTACGTTATCATCATAAATTATAGTTGTAAATGTCAACGTTATCATCATAAATTTTAGTTCTAAATACAATTCAAAACAGAAATATCTCCTAAATATGCCAGGCAGGGTAAGCTTACTCTTCCGAACACCTGTTACCACTGTTTGTCGTGTATTTTGTACACGGTGAACAGTCCATATGCTGATTACACTATTTTGCCTATACCGTTTTTTTTTAGGACTTCGAATTTTGTCTAATGGTTTGGCTTGTTCGTACTTGGTTTTATTTTATTATATTTACTCTGTTTAAATTTAATACACGTGAATCAACAACACCAGAAACAGTTTTCTGGTCCTCAACACAGGGTGATTAAGCAACAGAAACAGGAAATGTGATCAAAAGACTTTGCCATCTCCCATGCTCAGCAAAAGTAAATTTCAAAACTTAAAGTTGGGGTTATAAGCACTCTGCTCAATACTTTTCTTCTCTCAACCTTTTGCGACCTTTATCGCATCACTTGCTCAGCAGTAGTACATTTCAAAACCACCGCAGCATCAAACGTGATGGGGAAAATAATTTCCAAAATATTGCCAAAAAACACTCTAAATCTGTTTTGGCCTTAGCTCCCGTCGGATCAGAACAGTGGGGCGTTTAACCCATTTCGTTTCGTTTCATTTCCTTTCTGCACAACAGGGTTAAGGAAGACGGTCATACGATATGCCGTGTGCTATGATGGAAGGTCTACAGTTACTTCGAATTCCAATTGTCAAGGGTTCTTTTACGTGCACATCAACAGGTACACGGTATCCCTGGTTTGCGTCCAATCCGAACGACCACACTCTCAATCATCACAGGAAATTGGCGTGGTTTCGATACCTCGCGTGTACGTGACATGGAGCATGGTTACCCAAAGACCCCTACGCGCAAGCTAAATATTGAAATAAAATAGAACTATATGTAAGTCCCAAAATGACATAGTTTCTTTCTCTCGAAACCGAGAGATGAACAACTTCTTATCGGTTCCACATACAGAAAATCGCCATTGTTTCATTCCCTTTAAATAATTTAGCGCTGGTTATCGTTTCATGATAATAAAAAAAAAATATTTAACCAACTTGGGCTAGAATCAAAACTACTTTACAATGGGTTGGAAAATTCCTCATAAAACCGAGAGATAAACATTTTTTATCTATTCCACATACAGAATGAATATTTACAGTTCAGAATTTGCTATCTATAATTTTAATGACGTTAATTTTAATTTAATATACATTGAATTTCTTTTTAACCAGAACATATTCAATTATATAGACAAAATCGTATACTGTTTTCAAAATAAACAGAATCTCCACAACTCACTTGCTAAACTAACTCAATTTTCCAAACCAATAACTTGACCAAACCCTACCCTGGACGTGACATTAATTAGAACGACTTGACTAGATAGTCTCATCAATTCGCTTTTGCCTACTTAACTTCGTTGGTTCTCTGAGCAGATGTTAATTATTGTAAACAAGCATGCCCGGTGTAAATATAGAGACACATTTATGGTTGCTCTGTGGGTACGACACTAGCTCACCACACCCGTGGTCCCGATTCGATGTCGGAGTTAGCGAAGAAAGTTCATCTGGACTTTTCAACGCGTTTAAAAGAACCATTGACAGATGTAATTCGACGAACGGTACATGCCAAAATGTTTTGATGATACGGTATCACAGTTTATATTATTCCATTTGTCATAATGAGATCGTATTATCGATTATACAAAACACTGACCCCTTCCTTCATCTGTACAGGTAGCTGTGTATATAATTAATGTTGAGAAATGTAATGGAAATACATGATTCAGGGATTGGGAAGGGAATGAGCATCTACTAAAGACCTGCTCGATAGCTCAACACATAAAAAAATAAATACATAAAGTTACGATTAATAATACTTTAATAAGTACAAATTATGACAATAAAAGTGTCTTATAAAAAGTAAAATAGCTTGAAATTTTTTGGGTGTTGTCTTTTAGAGAGGATGAAAGATCTATGGACAGTTGCTGATTAAGGTCCTGGTGTTACACCTGGAAATGAAAAGGGGGTCTAATCGAAGTCTAATCGCGTAAACGTTGACAAGCAAGTGAAACAACCGTTGGAATTCGACGAAGAGTAGGCTGAAAGGCCACTGTCAGAGCAAAATGTCCACCAAAGCACAGTGCATGAAGTTAGTACACCATCATTATCCCCGTTCGTGCAAAAACGTATTTCTTCGCATTACAAGTAAATGATTGGAAGCTGGTGTTAACGGCTTTGTTTTGGATGATCATATACTATGTTCATGTTTGGAAGGTTGACGCTATTTTGGTTTTAAAAAAGGCACTTTGAAGTGATTCAACATCATTGTTTCTAATTTAAGGTAATATATTCACAACACCACTCACTTTAGAAAAAAATGAGAAATGTAAAAATTATACACACACTCGCAGCTTAAAATAATATTTTATCTTGCAATGTGTGGCTTAAAGATGCATTACGTAATATATATATAAAGAGCCGGTCGTTCTTGTTATAATAGTTCAAAAATAGATAATAAAAATGAATATATTGAAAATTTCATTCAAATTACTTTATTCTGAGCGAAGTTACGGGTCTTGGAAAATGTAGAGCAGATAGTTTATTATCGTAGGAACATGATTAATTAAATCATTAAATGAGGATCATATTTCAGTCTGTTTAAATCTCCGACATCCGATGTTCTAAAGGGTTGATTATAGGCCATGTGAATACATGTCTACATAATAATTTATTTAACATTTTAAGCCAAAATAAAAACCTACGAAAGGAGATTTAGCTCTTACATAATGCATCTTTAATCTGTAACTGACATGAACGGGACCTTTTCCGGTAAAACATCAGAATATTCGACTAAAAGTTGTCTAGCCAGATCAACAGCATGAGATGCGTTATTGGCTACTCGCGTATTTTTTAGACTTTTAGTCCAAGTATTATGATAATTACTAACTTTATTCCACTTGTTATTTAGAATCACGTGGGGAATATCCAATAAAGTACTTAAGATATGACCATGAAGACGATCGGTAATAACCACCCTCCCCCTCTGTAAGAATACCAGTCCATTATTTTCTATAAGATAAGCGTTTTCTATTTTCATATTACTATGAGGCGTTGGCCAACGTAACCAATCATCAATTCGGATTGTGATATCAGTCGGCAGTTTTGGTATTTCATCCGTAACCTTTTCTTGATCTGTTCTGCGAATCCATAAAATGTCATAAAATGGTTTTAAAAATCGTTGAACTGGACCAATTTGAAAAGCCATGTCTGGTGCTATGATAAGTTTGGGTTGTCCGGTAAAATGTTTTTGAGCAAGTTCTAAAGAGTGTCTGTCTCTAAGAATCATGGTTAAATTAGTTTCTTTTTTGTACAGATTTTCACAATATCGGAGGTGTCTTTCTCCACCAGACATAAAAATACTCTGAGGAAACAGTAAGAAATTAAATCCCCGAAACACATTAAATATTTTCTCTCTGAGATGATCATTAATAACCCACCCTACGAGATTTCCTCCACCATGTAATAGAATTACGAGATTTTGACGAGTATAGTTTTTAACAATCGACGATGCTTTTACCAAGTTGTTTCGTACGCACATGTTGTAATCACAGTAATAAACTAATGTTTTATTCAATTTTTGTAATAGTATCATTTCACCAATGGTAATAGCCGGATCCCCTTTATTTTCATGCAAGGCAATATCAAGGAGCATTACGTTTTTATAAGGTTTCAACAACTCGGCAAAAAGTTCATGGTGTATTCTTTGTGTCTCCTTTATTATTTCATCCCTTGTTGTCAAAAAGGGCGAATATTTATCATAGTGGGTTTTGTTGAATAAGGGCACTGCATACCCCTCACCATGCCCTTCGCCATTTAAATCAGATGAAACAGCTGTGACGCCAACTATCACCAAAGGTAACATGATGTATACCATCGTCTTCATACGACCTATCGAAAAATAAACAAAATAAGATAATATATTATTTGTATTCATGTTATATCACGGTGCTTTTAATCGTTCCAGCGGTTAATAAAATACCGAAGTATATGTAACTTTTGTTGTAGTCAAAACGGATTCAGTATTAATCAGTATAATCGGGACTAGTGAAAAGACAAAGGTCCTAGTATACGAAATTAACACTTTGAATCATCTAATTATCGAAACCCCAGGCAGGGTTGAGATATAACTGACTTTGTATTCTTCTGTCGACAGTGGCCAATACCGGAGCTATGGTGGCTCGGCCAGCATGGCAATGACTTACTAACGACGAGGTCTCGTGTAAGCCGAAAACATCCTTTGGGCTTTTTCAATCAGGGTTTCCCCCTTCTGTAGACAGGAAGTGCGGAAACCTGTGACCCGTGTATACCATTGGCGGCATGTTAAAGACGTTTGGGTTCGGGGGGGGGGGGGCGTCTAGTGGTTGAACTCCTGCGCGTGAAATCACAAGGTCTTTCATTGAGTCAAGTGGCATGGTTTCCGTAATATCATGTAACCATTACGAAAAATAGAATCACGGGGGGGGGGGGGTCAAATCTGCTGTATATAGCCTGCTTTGCTCATGTCACATTCACAAGCGGGTAGTTTAGCACGTGCCACCCACCATTTACATGCTTCAACCGTGTGAACTAATATACTTACTTTTTGTGCTACTTGACATGCATCTGATGTCGGGGACACTCGTGGTATATTTTCTAAGAGCATGAATCGCAAGTCCCACGGTACACATCAACAAACCCAGCCAGTTAGCACCAGAAGCTCTGCGACTTCCTACAGCATATAGCAGTACAACAACCAACAGTCTCTTACAGATATTTAAAATAGAATGATTAAACACCGTCATAGTCTTTAGTACAATATTGGTACTAATATATGAATACATGACATGGAATATTCCTGACCCAAATACTAGAACCAACATTAAAGTTGTGCCTTTAGCAAAAGCTCCCCTTCCTTCGGTAATGTCTACTGTAATTAAGAAAGTAATCGTGAAGGCAACGAAGACAAGAATCGCTTTCGGTTTCCTTAAACTACTATTAGATTTCGTTTTGTGTTCTGTTGAAATGGCTATGTTTCTTGCTGCTAGAATTATATTAGACATGAAAGCTAACAAAGTTCCAGAAGATATTTCAATGCCGCCCAACGGACTACCGGTAAACAACAATGCCCCGTAAACAATAATTGGTAGACTAATCAGAGAAGATGGCGGTATCGAAATTTTCTGGAACAGACTTTGAGCAACAGCGGATGTGATTGGTTCTAGTAATTTAATTGTGAACGTTGAAGCAGCATTCATGAACGTCATACTATAATTGGTGCAAAATGTTGCCAAAATATGAGCAACAATCTTTACACAGGAGACCAGTTTTGAGGAATTCTCCACTCCAATCGTTGATTGTATATCCACCAAAACGATACATGTAAAACATTGTAACAAGGTTAATGTTGATGAGGCTATTAATGTGTCACCCTGTATAACCGCATCCCATGTTTTTAGAAATCGTTTTGCTGTCCAATGACACAAGAACGATGTAAGTGTCCAGGATATGAAGGCAAACAATGAGTTGAACGAAGATGGCATCATCTGAAAAAACAAAATATCGACAAATATGGAATTGATTTTTCACAGTTTAATCACACCGAGATCATCAGCAATATTTTTCGCGACACCCATTCCATGAAACTTTGGCAGTTACACCATTGCAGCCCTACCTTTCTAGTGTCCTTTTTTTAGCATATTATTAAGCCTGTTGTTTTAGTTTGAATTCCAATATATGTCTAGATTTTGGTTTGCTATAAACGTCATTATAGATAAACAGAGAGACACTGCATTCTATGCCTAAATGACCTAAACACACCTTATCCCAACTACACCCAATAAATACACAAAGTTCTATCCTATTTATTGGGGGAAGGGGTGAATGGTTAGCGCGTGCGCGTTGCATCATGAAGTCATGTCATTGTGTCAACTGGCTTGGATTCGATTCCCCGGTTTTACGTCACAAGGAGTAGGGTCGCCTGTCAAACCTCGTGGGTTTTTTCCAGGTCCACCGGTTCCCTCCCATTTTGATTAAATAGGAAGAGCAGCTTTATCTTTAAAAAAAAACAAAATGAGAAATGAAATTTCAGTGCAATTGTATGCACACTATCAATTTGTATCGCACTAAATGGGGGCAATCATATCAGACTATCCTAGAACTTATGACAAATCTTTAAAAAGCTGACCAATTGAATCTTTTAATGGATGTATGATTACATCCAACCGATACAGGACACGAATGCAACATTTACAAGATCACCTTCATAGCGCTATAGCCAAGAGAAAGTGATTATGAAAATAGTAAATAAAATATCACCAACATAATTTTAAACGGCGTTACTAGTTTATGTTGGTACGAATCAAAGATACATTCCCACAAAAAGAATTTATAGGATATATATTTCCATTAAAAGTATAGCATATTTGGTATATATGGAGAGTGGAGACACTCAATCGTACTATAAAAATACTAAATACCCCGAAAACAACTGGTAGCCTGTCTTATGTGTTGATATCGTAACTAACGGTTGTGAGAACGGTGAGCGATTGAAGGGCGGAAACGGTTAGCATAGAATAATCCGATAATTTATTTAGTCTTGGATATTTATGGTAAATGAACGTCAACACGTCGACTAACGACATAAACAATCCCAAATGGATACTCCTTATATTAAGTCACGTGACAAACAAGGTCGCTTAAAGTAGATATTGAGGGTCATTTTGGAGTTCCGTTATATACGATTGCAGAAAATAACTTGTCAATATTAATCAGACCTAGAATTATCAAAGACCTATAAAACACAAAAAATAGAGGTAGGAACATTCAGGGGGTATGTACATTTTAAGGGATCCTCGTGTAGCAGTTCAAATTAACACACACATACCCCCCCCCCTCCCCCACACACACTTTAACCAAACAACCTGTCCTACTAATTACCTACAAGAGTGCTTCTTTTGTCTAAAATAATTACATAAACAGGTGTGCAAATATAAGATTGGGACGTTCACATATGTATTCATAACGTTCAGACCTAAATATGCAGTGTTGACTGTTTAAAAAAAAAACAATGATGAAAATAGAGGGGTTTTTTTTAAATTTTAAAAATCATAATGCTGCGAGAGAATAATTAAAAATTGACCTATTATTTTTTTTCCTGGGATGAACGAAAGAGTTACAGAAGTTTGAACTTTAGAGTTCAGTTAAAGGATCCTGTGGCAAGCAAAAATTTGTGTTAGTTTCAAAACATTCCAGAAAATCTGTAAATCATTATTTTCTACATTTTTAATGACTGTTATAATGGATACCCCTAGCCTTTAAATACCACAACCATTTTTAGACCTGTGAAAGAATGAGACGCCCTCACAAATTACTACACGCAAAACAATTATTCTGTCATGTATAGTTATATAATTGAACTCTCAGAAGTCAACAAACTATATATTTAAATGTGTTTACCTGTTATTATAAGAAACTTAACTTATCCAGAAAATATATTAGTTGGGTTGATAAAGATACATTAATTCTCTATACAATGGAATGAATCTGCCGAAACACGATGACTTAATAGCTTGATGGTTGGAACATTTGTGATCAGAGCTATGTCGGGTTTTACGAATCGATTGTTCTCAAACTCACCCTCTATGATTTATATATACGATTTTGATATCTACACACGACTATAAAAATATTTTAACAGGTGTTAGTTCTAAAACGTACGCGGGTATAATACTTAATATTATTATACTCGCAAAAATAAAACTACCATGTCAAGCATTTTTATTATGTAACCCGCAATTTAATAAAACATAACTGATAAGTATTATTGATGTAAATGAAGCCAGTTTAATTGTATGCACCAATTTCACACAAATCATCCGGTATATATTACATATTGTGTTACACAGGATATGTTTTAATTTACAAACAGAATACAGTATTAATTTAAGAAAACTAATTACAGGTAATTAGTAGTCCCCTAACTATTGAAATAGAAATTCAGAAATCAGAAACGCAAACAGAATACGAATTTGTAAAGTATAAACACCAGTATTAATTTAAGAAAATTAATTACCGGTAATTAGTAATCCCTTAAATATTGAAATAGAAATCAGAAACGCATCATGTGGAATGACAAATCACTTTACTTTTATGACAGTGTGAACATAGTTCGTTTTTCGTTATTTCGTTATTGATGAATAATGAGAAACGAGTAACTCGTTTTTCGATATTGGCGAATAACGAAAAACAAGTAGTTCGCTTTTTCGACATTTACGAATAACGAAAAACAACCTATTCGGATTTGAATATAAAAAAAACAAATTTCAGAGATGGATCTTCTGAGATCATTTCGCGGACAAAAGTGAGATCAAGAAAACAAAAGCCTATATCAATGTTCATGTAACATACAACAATCTAAAATGTGAATCAAAGTAAAGGGGTGTTTGTAAATCTAATTTAGTGCCTTTGCTACCACTCATGACCTTGTACAAGTGCAAGTCTTTTGTATTTTGTTGAATGTTCGTGGATGAATAAATTAAAACAGGACTCTGGTTGGTTGTAAATATTATTATATTCTTTGGTTAACAATAATCAACATACAGTGCAGCACACAATTACTGTTAACAAATCTTGGTTCAATGCTTAATAGTAGATAAGCTCATATGGATATGGGAATTGACATAAATGTGTGTTTCCAAATACATGTAATTAAAGTCTGACCCTCAAAATGTGATCTGAGGTTGATCTCCTAATGACGGTTTGTATAACGGTCTTTCTCTTAACTGACTCATTTGGTCTATATATCCCCATGCATCACCTATGGTATTAATCCTATAATCTATCGTCTATATACAAACAGTATACCAGGGTAACTAAAACGTCAATTACAATTATAAAAGATCAATTTAAAGTGTAAAACAAAGAATACTGGAGACCGGTGATTAAGGAAATATATAAGACATTGTTAACGATTGTGACTCTCAATTTATATCTGATAATAAATTGTCCTTCAGTTAATATTCAAACACTTGATTTAGTCCATTTGATGTTTATGTGTACTCTTCGTCGAATTCCATCTGTCAATGGTTCTTTTAAACGCGTTGAAAAGTCCAGAAGAACTTTCTTCGCTAACTCCGGGATCGAATCGGGACCACATGTGTGGTGAGCTAGTGCCGTACCCACAGAGCAACCATAGATGTGTCTCTATATTTACACAAGGCATGCTTGTTTACAATAATTAACATCTGCTCAGAGAACCCACGAAGTTAAGTAGGCAAAAACGAATTGATGAGACTATCTAGTCAAGACGTTCTAATTAATGTCATGTCCAGGCATTACTAAATGGGGTCGACGATGCACCTGCAAATCTAAACTGCATAGGTACATTGAGTTAACTTATCGGTTTAAAGGCTAGTCTCTGTCACTTGATTACTTGATCTCACTCACTCTATGAAAATCCCAATTTGACCTTTGTTTTGCATCTCGAACTTAGGATATAAAGCTGGATGTAAATTAATTACCTGATGTCAATATCCTACCTCATTCCTTCATTCCCTGGATAACATAGGCAAATTTTCGGATGTTTAAACTGCCAATTTTAAAACTATTCACCCCCTTTTATTGATGATCGACAACTCATTTTCACTCTCTTTTCTTTATTGTTATCAGTGGCGGCGCCAAGGGGGCGGGGGGGCAAGGGGGGCAAGGGGGGCCCTCTGGTCTGCCCTCTGTTTGCCCCCCCCCCCCCCAATAATTTTAGAAAATAAAAAAAAGTATTTGTGGTACGTTTCGGTAATCAATACCTTCTACAGTGAATAAATCCAACATCCCCACTCAGTCATAGACTTGCATGTTGTAGAGCATTTCCGACAGTCTATTTTTCCAAATTTTCTTGGGGAGGTCCCCAATACCCCCCACAAGAACTCACTACTTTGGCGCTCATAAGGGGAATTCACTGAGGTTTGCAAGTCCGTTCGTTTGACATTTTGTTCTATGGTCGGATAAACTAGTGACAAGGCGACGGGCGGTATCTGGTCAGACCTATTTATCTCGACGATCGTTGCCTGACTGAATACTGTCAGACAGCATTTCCGGCAGTCTATTTTTCAATATTTTCTGGGGGAGGTCCCCCATAAACTCCGTAAGGACTCCCTACTTTGACGCCCGTGAGTGGGCTTCGTCGAGGTTCGCAAGTCCGTTCGTTTGACACTTTAACTCAACGATCAGTGCCTGAAATATCGCCAGGCTCCATTGCGGCAATCTGGTTTTCAAAATTTTCTGAGGGAGCCCCCCCCCCACCCCTAGTTGAAGCTCGTGCCTTTGCCCCCTTAACCTTGGACTTTGCCCCAGCTTTGCCCCTCCAACCACCGACGACTGGTGCCGCCACTGATTGTTATAGTTCTTTGTATTTATTTAGCATAAATGTTCAACCTACTGCTCTTAAATGTTCTCTCACTTTCACCAATTAAAACTGACCACCATGTCAGGAAGCGATATTCATAAGCACGCTGCTCGTTTCCGTATCCATTAGACTGTACAGCTGTCTAGTCGTTCGGATGGGACGAAAAACCGGGTCCCCGTGTACACATTGGCGTGCACGTAAAAGATCCCCTGATAGTTGGAATTCGATATAAGAGTAGGCTGTAGTGCCGCTGTCCGGGCAAAATTTCCCTCATAGCACACTGTATGGCGTATGCCCGTCTTCATTAGCCCAGTTCGGAGCAGAACAGTAGGACGTTAAACCCCATTTCATATCATTTCATAATGGCATATTTTGTGACAGCTTCCGGAAATTTCCGATTTTTCCCGATTTAGAGTTGTTTAGTTCAAAATAAATCAACGATTAGTTTTAAAATTAATTAATAATGGTGCCAAAAAAAATATCAATCTAATTTTTCTTATTTACTCTTGCAATGAGACTCGGTATGTCCAGACTTTTGACAGTTTCTACATATACGGGTATACTGTTCTTGTCTGATAGTCTAATTTTACTTTTTCCACATTCGCGGTATCCCCAGTGGTTTCATTCCGTTCTACCCCACTAACCCCTGGGTTACTATATATGTGTGTAGGGGGGGGAGACACGTTTTCAAGTTATCCGCCCTTGATGCGTTAATATAAACAGCACATAATAATACGAAGACCGGACGTTTATATGTCCCTTTTTAAACGTGACTACAAGTGTGGTTCTCGATATTTTGCGATTTGGAATACAATTATCAATTTATTCAAACAACACGTTATTATTAGTTCGAGTAGTCATATTAAAACACACACAATTAGCAATTTATTCAAATAACACTTTATTATTGGTTCGAGTAGTCATATTAAAATAAACACAATTATCAATTTATTAAAATAACACTTTATTATTGGTTCGAGTATTCATATTAAAGGCTCAATACCACTCTTGTTGTAACTGAATAATATGTCCCAATCTTTATTCTGGTCAACAAATTGTACTATTTTAGAATATTTCAATTAATTGATGATACAAATTTCATCTTAACACACCTTATTTAAAAATTTTGAAATATTCAACATAATGGTTTGAAACGTCTAACATAAACCTTTTCAAATGAAACTTCGATTTAAAAATATTTTCGAACCCTCTGGACAAGTAAAATAGGATGTAATGGATAATTTACACAACAGGTAGGACACTTAAACATCTAGTACTTAGATAGAGATATTATTTATTTTCTGGAGCTTTCAAGCCAGCAAGAGTGTTATTGTCCCTTTAAAACAAACGCAATTATCAATTTATTAAAACAACACTTTATTATTGGTCCGAGTCGTCTTTCTGTTGGGTCCGAATAGTCTTTTTGTATGGTCCGGGTAGTCTATTTGTTTGGGCTGAGTGGTCTATCAGTTGGTCCGACTGGTCTTGAACCGAGTGGTCTTTGGTCCGAGTGGTCATAGATTCTTGTCGTAATTGTACTTGAATTTCCTATGCTGTCACCCCTAATACGAAATGATATCTTCCGCAGAGTGACGTAACCATCTTCCATATTGGTATTTTTCTCTGGGAAAAGTTTGTGATATTTCAATTTTTCAAGAGAGAACTTGTTTTCATCGTTGTGATAATTAGTTGTGCAATGGATTTTATCGAACGGGAGTTCATTACAAACACACAGGTAAGTTTATAATAACCAAAGTTAAGTAGTTTGTTCATAATCGAAGAAATCCGTTTAAAATTTACCAAGACTCAGACAGTAGTTTATGTTTTGCGCGTCTTTCTTTTAACGAAATAAAACCGTATTCTTCGTATATAATTTTATGTGTTCCTCGAACAAGTCCAGTTACTGTTCTTAGGGCCTGAAGCTGGAGTTCATTAAAGTTGCAATTTCATTTTTTTTTAAGTTATATTTTTAAAATTTATTAAAATAAAGCCTTAAAAGAGATGGTATCTATAAACAGTCGTGCCTTGTTAAAGAATAATCCTATTTAACCTATAATTCACTATTGCCAGTTGAGTAATTGGCAAAAATATCATATTAATCATCAAATTCCAATGATTGAAGGTAACTACTCCATGGTGGAGAATAGAAAACAAGGGAGGTAATTGTGTTATTATTTCCGGTGTAAATGAGTTTT